AAGCGGTTCATGAAACTTCACTGAAAGGTCACGGTTACTAAAAGGGTCACATAGAGGTCATTTAGAAGAGAAATGTCCCGAGAGAAGCAGGGTTGCAAAATTGGTCCTATAAATATCGGAATTTTATGGAAAAGGCAGCAAAAAATCACAGTTTCAAGAAAGTTCACCAAAAAAACAAAACAGAATCAGACAAAAAAAAATTGCTTGTTGTAAAAGGTCAATGTCATTAGGACTGCTAACAAAAAAAGTCAGAAGATGAAAGAATATCTTTTTAAAGGTACGGTAATTGGTCCAAGAAGAGGTCAGTGGTACATGCACTAGTCACTCACAAGTCGAGACTACAAGAAGAGAAAGGTCAGAGAGAGGTCACGCAATGGCCAGGGTCACAAAATATATCCCTGTCGCAATAACAAGATCAGTATTACGGACAGGTCAGTGTCGTTTGAAAGCTAAGGATCTTAAAGAGGTCCTGAAAACGGTCTGTATCACGAAGAAAAGGCCAAAAAAAGTTCAGGGTCGTAAAGAAATCTAAAATCAAATTCAGGAGGATAAAAAATCAGGTCAGAGTTGTAAGGAAAAGGTCAGTATTGTTATCAGGAAAAAATTGGGTCTAGAAAAAGTTCACCTTTGAAAAGAGGTCAGGGTCACAAAATGGATTAGCAACACGATATAGATCCAGCAGGGTGCCAGGGTCGTGAAAGGTCAAATTTCAAATAAAAATGGGACCAAAAAGGTCAAAATTATAAGAATGGAAGCAAAAAAGGTCAAGATTATAAAAAAAGTAAAAAAGTCAATGATAAAAATAGAATAAAAAGAAGTCAGGCTTGTAGAAAAGGCGACCACTAAAAGGTCGAGATTGCAACATCGATATTTTTTATTTTTTATTTATTAATTTTGTTGTTGTTGTTCCTTTAAACTTTGAGTAGAACTTGCAAAATACCATTGTTCCTTTTGCTGATACATGAACAGATGGCGATTAAATGTTTTCTGGATTTGACCTTTTTAATCTATTGCAACATTAATTTCTAGTAAAGGTAGAATCGAAACGAATTGAATACATATCTTGCACTGTGTACATATGCATTCTTACTTTTTCTATATTTGTCAAATTGAACACTGCTAATCCAAGATGCATTTATTTTTAAAGTTACACATAAATGCCTATCCTATTAATTTTGTGTTATTCTCCGTTAAAAATTAGTTAAAGTCCATATCACATAAATATTACGTTATCTAATAATGATTGTTAATTAAGGAATAATAACTCGTTGTTAACACTATTCTTGCACTATTTTGTTTTGGTCACTTAGAAACCTTATTGGTATTTAGAAGTCTAATCTTTTCTCCGGTTTTCTTGACGATAAAACGTTCGCATAAGATATAATCATGTTATTTTCACATTTCCGATCAGACGAGCCACAAATTCATCACAAACTACACAACGACAAATTCTACACGTTGTAACCGTACTTACAATTGAAACACAGAGAAGAGTGACTTTTTTCCCGTCTGTTCTAACCTAAGCTTATCTTTGATAACTTTACTGATTACCAACTTATCTGATTACGTCTGTGCTGCGTTCGGACGAAGGCAGGATTCGGAGAAAAGCGAATTCATGGATAAGGGAGAGAGGGAGAGGATAAGAACTGGGGGGGGGGGGGAGAAAACTCATTTCAAGTGTATGATGTTGGGTCGTTGGTGGATCACGGTAAGTTAATGAAATTTAAGACCCTTTTTAGACTTTCGAGGACATATTAATGTTTTTTTCAAGACCTGGAGACACTTGAATACACACTTCCCCATAGTATGTAGGCCTACTTGTCCCGTCAGTGAATAATATAAGAAAAAAAAAGCTGACCTGGGATCACTTGTCGCTAAGTACACACTTCGCCATAGTGTGTAGGCCTACTTGTCGAGTCAGTGACCAAGTTAAAAAAAAAAAAATCCCCCCAACATGATTTATATTCAGTCTCTCGGATAGATTGCGCGCCAGAATTTTTATTTTGCACACGGCACATACGTAGACGGTTGTATGATCAGCAAAGGTCTATAATTAAGTATATATAGACTTGTGATCAGCAAAGGTCTATAATTAAGTACTTATATAGACCTTGTGATATAAAATAGATGAAATTTATATCTATCAGATATTTAGAGAATAGGCCTTTAAAATAGATGGTTAAATCATATCTATTATATCTATTATATCTATTTAGAGAGATAGGCCTTTTTTTCTGCATCTGTATTTATGAGAATTATTTATGAAGAAATGAAGCCTTGCAGAAACCCGAAGTCTGGTGTTGACAAATGTTTTCGGTGAAGCTTGCAGAAACCCCGAATGTCTGACAAATGTTTTCCGATGAAGCCTGCAGAAACCCCGAATGTTGTGTGACAAATGTTTTCCGGTCAAGCCTTGCAGAAACCCGAATGTCTGGTGTTGACAAATGTTTTCCGTGAAGCCTTGCAGAAACCCCGAATGTCTGGTGTTGACAAATGTTTCCGATGAAGCCGTGCAGAAACCCCGAATGTCTTGTTGACAAATGTTTTCCGATGAAGCCGTGCAGAAAACCCGAATGTCTGTGTTGACAAATGTTTTTGAAGCCTGCAGAACCCGAATGTCTGGTGTTGACAAATGTTTTCCGGTGAAGCCTTGCAGAAACCCCGAATGTCTGGTGTTGACAAATGTTTTCCGATCAAGCCGTGCAGAAACCCGAATGTCTGGTGTTGACAAATGTTTTCCGATGAAGCCTTGCAGAAACCCGAATGTCTGGTGTTTGACAAATGTTTTTCCGATGAAGCCGTGCAGAAACCCCGAATGTCTGGTGTTGACAAATGTTTTCCGATGAAGCCTTGCAGAAACCCCGAATGTCTGGTGTTGACAAATGTTTTCCGGTGAAGCCTTGCAGAAACCCCGAATGTCTGGTGTTGACAAATGTTTTCCGATGAAGCCTTGCAGAAACCCCGAATGTCTGGTGTTGACAAATGTTTTCCGATGAAGCCGTGCAGAAACCCCGAATGTCTGGTGTTGACAAATGTTTTCCGTGAAGCCTTGCAGAAACCCCGAATGTCTGGTGTTGACAAATGTTTTCCGATGAAGCCTTGCAGAAACCCGAATGTCTGGTGTTGACAAATGTTTTCCGATGAAGCCTTGCAGAAACCCGAATGTCTGGTGTTGACAAATGTTTTCCGATGAAGCCTTGCAGAAACCCCGAATGTCTGGTGTTGACAAATGTTTTCCGTGAAGCCTTGCAGAAACCCGAATGTCTGGTGTTGACAAATGTTTTCCGAAAGCCTTGAAACCCGAATGTCTGTGTTGACAAATGTTTTCCGGAAGCCTTGCAGAAACCCGAATGTCTGGTGTTGACAAATGTTTTCCGATGAAGCCTTGCAGAAACCCCGAATGTCTGGTGTTGACAAATGTTTTCCGATGAAGCCTTGCAGAAAACCCGAATGTCTGGTGTTGACAAATGTTTTATGAAGCCTTGCAGAAACCCCGAATGTCTGGTGTTGACAAATGTTTTCCGATGAAGCCTTGCAGAAACCCCGAATGTCTGGTGTTGACAAATGTTTTCCGATGAAGCCTTGCAGAAACCCCGAATGTCTGGTGTTGACAAATGTTTTCCGGTGAAGCCTTGCAGAAACCCCGAATGTCTGGTGTTGACAAATGTTTTCCGGTGAAGCCTTGCAGAAACCCCGAATGTCTGGTGTTGACAAATGTTTTCCGGTGAAGCCTTGCAGAAACCCGAATGTCTGGTGTTGACAAATGTTTTCCGATGAAGCCTTGCCCCGAATGTCTGGTGTTGACAAATGTTTTCCGATGAAGCCTTGCAGAAACCCCGAATGTCTGGTGTTGACAAATGTTTTCCGTGAAGCCTTGCAGAAACCCGAATGTCTGGTGTTGACAAACAGAAACCCCGAATGTCTGGTGTTGACAAATGTTTTCCGATGAAGCCTTGCAGAAACCCCGAATGTCTGGTGTTGACAAATGTTTTCCGTGAAAGTGCAGAAACCCGAATGTCTGGTGTTGACAAATGTTTTTCCGATGAAGCCTTGCAGAAACCCGAATGTCTGGTGTTGACAAATGTTTTCGATGAAGCCTTGCAGAAACCCGAATGTCTGGTGTGACAAATGTTTTGAAGCCTTGCAAACCCCGAATGTCTGTGTTGACAAAATTTTTCCGTGAAGCCTTGCAGAAACCCCGAATGTCTGGTGTTGACAAATGTTTTCCGTGAAGCCTTGCAGAAACCCGAATGTCTGGGTTGACAAATGTTTTCCGATGCAGAAACCCCGAATGTCTGGTGTTGACAAATGTTTTCCGATGAAGCCTTGCAGAAACCCGAATGTCTGGTGTTGACAAATGTTTTCCGATGAAGCCTTGCAGAACCCCGAATGTCTGGTGTTGACAAAGTTGCAGAAACCCGAATGTCTGGTGTTGACAAAATGTTTTCCGGTGAAGCCTTGCAGAAACCCGAATGTCTGGTGTTGACAAATGTTTTCCGTGAAGCCTTGCAGAAACCCCGAATGTCTGGTGTTGACAAATGTTTTCCGTGAAGCCTTGCAGAAACCCCGAATGTCTGGTGTTGACAAATGTTTTCCGATGAAGCCTTGCAGAAACCCCGAATGTCTGGTGTTGACAAATGTTTTCCGTGAAGCCTTGCAGAAACCCCGAATGTCTGGTGTTGACAAATGTTTTCCGTGAAGCCTTGCAGAAACCCCGAATGTCTGGTGTTGACAAATGTTTTTTGAAGCCTTCGAATGTCTGGTGTTGACAATGTTTTCCGATGAAGCCTGCAGAAACCCGAATGTCTGGTGTTGACAAATGTTTTCCGATGAAGCCTTGCAGAAACCCCGAATGTCTGTTGACAAATGTTTTCCGATGAATGCAGAAACCCGAATGTCTGTGTTGACAAATTTTCCGATGAAGCCTTGCAGAAACCCCGAATGTCTGGTGTTGACAAATGTTTTCCGGTGAAGCCTGCAGAAACCCCGAATGTCTGGTGTTGACCGGTGAAGCCTTGCAGAAACCCGAATGTCTGGTGTTGACAAATGTTTTCCGATGAAGCCTTGCAGAAACCCCGAATGTCTGGTGTTGACAAATGTTTTCCGATGAAGCCTTGCAGAAACCCCGAATGTCTGGTGTTGACAAATGTTTTCGATGAAGCCTTGCAGAACCCGAATGTCTGGTGTTGACAAATGTTTTCCGATGAAGCCGTGCAGAAACCCCGAATGTCTGGTGTTGACAAATGTTTTCCGATGAAGCCTTGCAGAAACCCCGAATGTCTGGTGTTGACAAATGTTTTCCGATGAAGCCGTGCAGAAAATGACAAATGTTTTCGATGAATGTCTGGTGTTGACAAATGTTTTCCGATGAAGCCTTGCAGAAAACCCGAATGTCTGGTGTTGACAAATGTTTTCCGGTGAAGCCTTGCAGAAAACCCGAATGTCTGTGTTGACAAATGTTTTCCGATGAAGCCTTGCAGAAACCCCGAATGTCTGGTGTTGACAAATGTTTTCCGATGAAGCCTTGCAGAAACCCCGAATGTCTGGTGTTGACAAATGTTTTCCGATGAAGCCTTGCAGAACCCCGAATGTCTGGTGTTGAATGTTTTCCGTGAAGCCTTGCAGAAACCCGAATGTCTGGTGTTGACAAATGTTTTCCGATGAAGCTTGCAGAAACCCGAATGTCTGGTGTTGACAAATGTTTCCGATGAAGCCGTGCAGAAAACCCCGAATGTCTGGTGTTGACAAATGTTTTCCGATGAAGCCTTGCAGAAACCCCGAATGTCTGGTGTTGACAAATGTTTTCCGATGAAGCTTGCAGAAAACCCCGAATGTCTGGTGTTGACAAATGTTTTCCGTGAAAGCCTTGCAGAAACCCCGAATGTCTGGTGTTGACAAATGTTTTCCCTTGCAGAAACCCCGAATGTCTGGTGTTGACAAATGTTTTCCGATGAAGCGTGCAGAAACCCCGAATGTCTGGTGTTGACAAATGTTTTCGATGAAGCCTGCAGAAACCCCGAATGTCTTGTTGACAAATGTTTTCGATGAAGCCTTGCAGAAACCCCGAATGTCTGGTGTTGACAATGTTTTCCGGTGAAGCCTTGCAGAAACCCCGAATGTCTGGTGTTGACAAATCAAGCCTTGCAGAAACACGAATGTCCCGAAATGCCGATGTTGCAGAAACCCGAATGTCTGGTGTTGACAAATGTTTTCCGATTGAAGCCTTGCAGAAACCCCGAATGTCTGGTGTTGACAAATGTTTCCGATGAAGCCTTGCAGAAACCGAATGTCTGGTGTTGACAAATGTTTTCCGATGAAGCCTTGCAGAAACCCCGAATGTCTGGTGTTGACAAATGTTTTCCGATGAAGCCTTGCAGAAACCCCGAATGTCTGGTGTTGACAAATGTTTTCCGGTGAAGCCTTGGCAGAAACCCCGAATGTCTGGTGTTGACAAATGTTTTCCGGATGAAGCCTTGCAGAAACCGAATGTCTGGTGTTGACAAATGAAGCCTCTGCAGAAAAAATGTCTGG